GTCGTGTTTTCTTTCAGTCAAAAGCTTGAAAGAAGGAAAGTTTTCATACAACAAAATCACGTGTTCACTATATAAAACAATTTCATATATGTCATCGTATCAGTGTCGATAGTATTTCCATGAATTCTACGATTACTATCGAAGACACCGACGAAGAGGTGATAGATTTGGACTCAAGCCAAGATGCCATCAATGTTACTGATAATGATCAAGGTGAATGTTCGATTGAAAAAAATTCATCATCGAACAACGATGCAAATGAAACGAGCGTAACTAGTGATTATATGGATAATAACAAAAATGCATCGATAACACAAACTTGCGACAGTGCAAATACGTTAAAACCATTTTTGAAGGTTATATTTCGAGATGAAAATGTCTCACGGTAAGGCATTATTTTGTCCCTTTTTTTTTGAAAGCATATTTATTCATTTAGTATTTGTAAAATATTTTGTATATTTTTGATAAATTTTTTATCAAATTAGATAAATTACACAATAATCAAGTTGATTTTGTCAGTTATTATATACTTATATATGCATACTAAAAGCAATATTATTTAATCTACCTAGCTGTCTTTTATTGAGATAACTTCATTTTTATTTCTTTTATTGAATTTTTAGGCAATATAATAAAAAAATAAAAGAGTTTCTAGAAGAATTAATATCTTCCAAGATTAAAAGTCAAGAAAATGATAATGGTTTAACGTTAGAATTTTGGGATAATGATATTGATTCTATGAATCAATCTATTGAAATTGCGACAGAAAGTGAAGATAGTCAGGATATAATATGTGATACTTTGTTCACAGTAGATAAACAACCAAAACTTAAAGATGAGTTTGATGTTCCAACTTATGGCAAGGTCTGTTTTTTATTCTACTATTCAGTATTTATATACAGGAAATAAATATTTACACTTCAAATAGCTAAATAATTATTAATACATTGAAGTCGCAAAGGTCATCTATGGTCAACATTTAATTTGTCAATTGCGATAAATGGTGGTAATTAGCAATACCAAGAGTAGTAAAAATATTTAATTTAAATAAATGACAATATTTATAACTAAAATTTTCAACATCATTATCACAATGTTGTTCATTTATATTCATATTTTTAATTATATACATATTATATGCATATATTACAATTCTATTAAATTAAAACCTAATTTATTTCAGTGTTATGAACAAGTTGTGCTGAATTAATCAAGCAGACAACATGTTAATTATTGTTATTGCTATTATCTGTTTAATATTTTAATATCACTAATTATTATTCTAGAAATATGAAAATGTGTTTGATAAAATAAAATTAGAATCAGATGCAAAACCAAAGGATGACTGTTTATCAAAGTTTATGTGTTTTAATTGTTTGGGAAATCATAATTTACGAGATTGTCCAGAACCACGAAATTATGCCAAAATAGAAACAAATCGAAAAAATTTCCATATGAAAGGATATTCAAAAAGTGTTAGATATCACTTTGAAGATAATCAAAGATTTGGTCATATAATTCCTGGTCAATTAAGTAACAATTTACGTAGAGCACTAGGTCTTAGAGATAATGAATTACCCAAACATATATACAGGTATATAATCTTTATGGTTTTAGAAGCATGTTTACAACACTCTGGTTTGTCCTTATTTAATTCCGATGGTATTGCTGAAAAAAACCCTAATGATAAACCAGATACTATTATTGAAGAAGGAGACAGAGATCAATATGACATAAAAAAAATATATGATTTTCCTGGTTTTAATGTACCAGCTCCACCTGGTACTCGTGATGTAAGCAATAGAAAATTTTATGGAAAAAAATAATGTATTCTTGTAGAACTAAATTAATGAAAATTTATCATGAACAATAGGAACATGGACAGTACTGGGTATCATCAATGTTGACTGTTCATAGTAAACAAAGAATGTTACTAAAATTAAGGGGGAAAAAGGCAGATGATGGATACAAGAGAAAAAAACTCAACATTTCTAATAATACATCAGAAGAGACAGCACCAGAACCTACTGAAATGCAAATTGAAGATGTTGAAGGTATAGAAATTTCAGTCTGTTTTGAAATTCTTTTTTTGAAACAACTAGATAAACATTACTTTTTATGAAATAGAAAGTGTAGTAGATTATGTATCCACTAATGGACTGTTTGTACCGCCATTACCACGAGAATCTCCTTTAAAACCACCGGAACCACCATTATCAACACATATAATTTCTGAAGATTCAGATTATCATTCTCAAGAGTTGCAACTTTCTGAGTCACTGGTATGTATAACATTGTATTATATGTATCTACAATCCCTGTCAATATAAAATGTGTGTAAAAACAAAATATTTCCATATAACATACTAGAAAATGAGATATTTGTACAAAACATTATAGGAAGATAGCATATTACCCTCTTCGCGTGCAAATTCTCCGTCATTATCCGAATTGGAAAACATGAAAAAACAATTGCTTGTAGAACTTCAGGAAACTAACTCAAATTCAGATGTTCTATCAAAAAGCAATTCTTCGAATTTGATGTTAAACTCTGATATGCCACCACCCAGTAATGAAGTTACTCCAAAATCAGACCGCATTCGTCAAAATGGAGTAAATACAAGTCAAGGAAGTGTGAAATCTATTGATTTAGGCACACCTGTATTACAAAGTACATCACCATATAGTAAATTGCCACCATCTGAAAAATTTTCAAAGGATATTTGTAATTTGATAAATTTTGAAAATTTACCGGATTCAACAGGTAAGTATGAACAAATGACTGAAGTCTTACAGAAAGTAAGAAATACATTAGCAAAACTTCATGAAGAATCGTCATAAATATGTAATTATATTTCTAATTAGAGAATGATATATATTTTTATCTATGATTAGTCTAAATATATGTCGTTTTTCAATGGAAATATATTCTTTGTACGTTAGAAAACGTACAAACAACATGTTTATTCCTTATTGTTGTATTTAACCGTGTATCTGTCAAAACAAAAAATATCTAACATTTTAATTGTAATTACAAATTTCTTTTTTAATCCATGATAATTGAAGATGGTTTTTACTTCATTTTTGTTCATAAACAAGATGTTAGGGGCTTTAAATCATTCTAACAAGTATATTAAAATGTATTAAACGTTTTGCACATAATGAATTTATGTAAGTGGGAGGCCTTGATGTAAAATGCAATTACCCTTTTTATTGGTCTTCCTATCTATACCGTAAAACTAAAAAAAATATTCAGAACTTTTAACAAAATTTCATAGTATCTCACTTATAAAAAGTACAAATATATACTATTTTTCTATTAATTAGTGGCATTTTCTCATATAATATACTGTATATGAATACAAACTATTTGATATTCAACAAACAGCTTATAAACTTACTTTTATTATTCAATTAGATTAAGCATTCATCTTATACCTATCACTGTACATTGCACTTAATTTTTTTTATAAGTTCAAATAATTTCAGAATTAGCAAATGCTTTTATTAGTATAAGTGGGATTTTTATATGTAATAAAATATGAGAAGAATCTTTAGGTATAACTTAATGGTTGTATTCAGTGCACTAAAATAAGGAAAAACATTTATTTAAATATATGATTTCTGTATGTGAGTTTCTGTTTTCACAAAAATTGTTTTAGGTGCAAAGCACCTACAGTTCAAGCAGAAGCTTTCAAAGAAAATCCTCGCCGGTTAAATAGTGCCATTTATTATTTGAATTTATTGGTCTACTTCAATACACTATAGGATTATGTCAACATTATCTATTAGAGATAAAATATAAACGAAAAACTCTACAAATAAAATTTCAGAGAATTTAAGCCTGACAAATTGAATTGACAAATTAATTTTTCGCAATCAACCTATTTACTTAAGGTAACAAATGAATACTTCATTAATTGATTAAAATGATCATCATTGTACATAAATAAACTACAATTTTCTTTAAATTAAAAGAAGAGTACAGTTAATTATAAAAATTAAAGTAATATCATATGTTTATCTGAATATTTTTTCTTATTTTAATGACTTCCATACACTGCTGGAGTTCATTCTATATTATTCTGTATATACGAACAAGTTCTATAAACATACAATTAAAATCAATATTGAAATTGTTAATTAAAAACTTTGTTTACTATTTTTGTATAAAAAGTTTTATTTCCATTTTTTAATTGGAAAATTAATGATATTAGAAAATTCACCAATTTTAAATAAAGGTATGTATATATGTAAATAAAGAAAGAAACGTGTTTTTGTAATAATGATAATAAGATACTGATAGAAGCACTTCAATAATATTATATATGAAACATATATCTTTTATCCTCCCTCTAAAAACTACATCTATTTCTAATACATTTATTTATATTGTAGAAAATGTATGTAAACAGGATGAAAATTTAGTAAGTTTAATATTTAAAAAAAAGAAAAGAAAAGAAAATTGAAGAACTTCGCCAAAATTATGATTTCTAAAATGAATTTGTATTATCAATGTATATGTTTATTTTCTAGAACATGCAATACACACGCGTGCACGTACATTAAATATCAATGAATCACTAGAAAATAGTATACTGATTTCATAAGGCTACTTATACGTTTAATTTAGTACATTTTATCTTTTTCTGTTACATACATACGCGCGCGTATATATATGCATATGTTATGTAAGTATGTATGTATGTAATCATCTTTTTCAGTACATATTTTCTTCAAACTCATAAGTTACTAGCCTTAAGCAAATAGAAATGTATATTGTTATTTAGTTTAAAAAAAGTAATAACACTGTATTTTTCAAGAAATGAAACATTAAGACATTATCAACATTTCACATTGTCTCAAAGCATCAGCCTATTTTTTACGAAGAAAAACAAATGTAAAATACATGTTAATTTTTAAAAATACAACAAATATTCTAAAAAATATATAACAGGCAGATGTTATTTTATATTACAAATGTTTCATTTCATATTCAATGTATGAAATCAAAATTTTATTTTTAAATTATTCTTCTCTGTACAATACCTTTAGGATACAAATTAGATTACAATAAAATTTGTTTATATTAGATTATACCATATGAAAAGGATAGATTAATAACTTTGGAAAATGTTGGAAAAATGATTCAAATATTTAGGTTTTATAGTAAACATTAAAGAGATTGTAATTTTGTTATATCTGGTTTTCCATCTTGATAATCCTTAAAAAAGCAAGTAAAAAGTATAATATTTGAAAAACCTTGCCATAAATCGTGTTATTTTTTATTATGATATCGCGTGTATAGCAAATCCTCAAACTGTTTTAAAAATAAAATATTTTTTTTCTTTTACATATATCCTTGACATATGAAAAATATTGGTAAATAAAACGGAAGGAGAGAAAACGGATACTCATTGATGTGTATAAATATAATGATCTTCAGCTATGTGAAAGGAAATTACAATACTTATTGAATCAGATCAAATATACGCTAGCAATATCGTATAAATCGAATGTATTAATTGATTATTCTCTTTCCATTCCCTTTGTTATCATAAGATCAGCAGATTCTATTATAAAAATTCAAATGAAAACATGTTTTTATAGTATTATACATCTTAGTATGCTGTCGGTGGTGGTACGGGAGGATCATCGTTCGGATCCTAAAAAAATTATGTTAAAATTCTGGCAGAATATCAGTAAAATAAAAATTAAGTTACTGAAACTAAATTTAAATATAATACTTACATTTTCGTTATCTCGATCTTTAACAATATCGTTTTTTAATTGACGAATACAATTTGATCTAAGAACATACATTAGAACAGCGAATATAATAATTAAGCAAGTCGTGAAAAAGTTTGAAGATGGCGGAGCATTACGTGGTCCCGGTACTGAAAAATTAGTAATAAAAATTGCTGATTAAAGTAAAAAATTATATCAATAATAAAATATAAATATACTTACATTGTGACATGCTAAAACATTCATTATCTGTACAGTAATTTTGACCCTGTTGCAACTGAAACAATAAAATATCGTTTGTAAAATATTTAACCATGATTGGCGTAATAAAAATGTATCTAATATGCGAAAAAAACCTAATATTATAATGAAATTATAATTTATTATAGATTTATTACAGATTACAAACTTTATTTATTCGTGTTTAATTGTATAAGGCTAATGAAAAAATTGGTAACAAAATATGTTCTTATAAAAGTGCTTATTATGACAATTTTTAAACATCGAATAAAAATAAAGTATTCACTACATACATGGAAAATATTTCATATTAAGCAGCATAACATTAATCTCAATTATTGCGAAACTGCTTAATTACAGACGCTAAGTCGAATACAAATATAAAAAGGAAAAGATAGAAATAATAAGAATAACCAAAGATGATGATATTGATGATGATGATGATAATGATAAAACAATTCGAGCAACTTATGATTTTTAACAAATATTATAACATCAATAAAGAGTATCTATAAGTTGAATAATTTCGAGATATTTAAAAGGATAAATAATATATATTAAAAGATTTTGATCTAAGTTATTAATGAAAAATTCGATCGTCAACACCTACCATAGAAAGTAGACGTTGCATAACGAATTCATGGTTCCATATGTATTCACAAAAGTCAGATCCCTTGTCGGCCATCGTAACGCCTATATCTGAAATCAACGTAATAGTTATTATATTAGTAAACTATAAGTATAAAATTATATATTCTTACAATTCCTCTTATAATAATTGGATAAATTATTATTACACTATTCTACAAAATCGTACAATTTATTATTCAAATAATTAATTCAATTATATGATTCAAACAATGTAAATTTATAGTATATATATATATTATACGTTATAATATAAAGCAAAATATAAAATTTCGTTTAAAAAAAATACTAAACAATTATCAAAAACGGAAGGGCGTATACCGCACATCTGATAATGCTACAATTAAAATAGTCCGTAAAACGGCAAAAATCTTACAATTATAGTTGCATAATAATTTTTATTAATTTACTGTTATATATTCGCGAAGTTTATTATAAGGTATTAGTAATCAAAATGTTAGACTTCCTTTAATAACAATTTTTAATTCATATTTAAAATTATATAATTTCAATAATTAGCATAAACTCTTGAAATTCATGAGCAAAGTATTTTGAAACAATGCATCAAATTCGACATAATTTATAGTATTTCGATTACATTAATATAAAAAACATATGGAATATGTTCACATATGCATCTTTATATAATTTCTTTATATCAGTTTCGTTATTCGATGTTTTAACAAATTTTTTAGAAATACAAGAATTGGTTTTCGAAGTGAAATATCACAATCGTTAAAAATGATAGAATTCAACATATAGTACAGCTACGATTACATAGAATAATTATAATTTAGAACACGGTGCAAATGAAATACGATTATAAAAATTAGACATACTATAATCGTACAATTATCGAATAAAATAATAATTAGATAATTATTAATTAGTTTAACAATTCGCTCATAATTCATTGACATTGCTGTCAAATAAAGAAAACAGTATAACAAACAACGATTGTAAAGAATAAAAAGTGTTAATGAAAAATACTTTTATATATCTTAATCATTACAAGAAAAATGAAAAATTGGGATATAAGAATAATTACCTTAACAACACTTTATTATTTGACACTATAATAAAATAAAGATCTGCACCGTATTTACATTCAATACGAGGCAGCCATTATGGTCGGTCGTCCTGTTGTATCTCGTCTGCTTAGTCGAGCATTCAAGCTGAACTTTCATTGGTGCATTTCTTGATTATGCATTGTACAATAATTTTTAATTTAACAATTAACTAACTACATTAAATTATTGTATAACATATAATATTTCAAAATTTGTAATATTTTATGTTCTTTAAATATTATCAATAATGATTTAATTTACCTTATAACAGCTGGTTATTTAAAAATAATAATTAAAAAATTTATTTAACACTTTGTATATTTTATGCACATTTTATATACATGTTAAAGTATATGTAAATATATAACTTCATATTTAAATAATGAAATATTATATTACACTAAAAGAAAATTGAAAATAAAGAAATAGGTAAGTTTGGAACATTTTACTGCAAAGAACTTCATGAATATAAATATTTTGATTATATATAATTTATTGCAACTATACAATGATACATCAACACTATCCTAACTCTAGGTCTTGAATCTGAAATATAATAATTACATAACATAAAAAAGCTAATACTATGATATAGTCGCTATTCATAATTACTTGAATAACAATACTTACTTCTTGAACTTTTTGCATTTCTTGTGTTAGTAAATTATCCAATATTTCTTGAAATCTTTGTCTTAGTTTAACATTTTCAATATTGGCTATTTCAAGTTCTTGTTGTTGTCTTCTTTGTCGTAGTTCAGCTAATTCCGCATGTAAAGTCGCAAGACGTGCTTGTAATGAATCTATAATATATTTAAACATAAATCGTGTACTATTATAAAAATATATATACATATATTTATATATGTGTGTATGTATACCTTTTGATACCGAGGCAGAAGGTGATTCTGAAAAGTTTTCAGAAATAATATATTCTGAATGGAATTGTTCAACTTTAGGTAATTTTGATGAAGACGCATCTTCTGATTTTTCTACTTCAACTTCCATATTATTATCACTTTGGAACATTTCTTTGCTAAATTGCGTGACAAGGTTACTATTTGTTGCTGCATTATTATTAGATCTTTCTGAATATGTAGCTTGCATAGAATTAGAATCTGATACTCTGCTGTCTGCAGAAAGCCGACTATTTTCATCTAATTCCATCACATTTATATTTGCTTCCTCATCATCTTCTTCACTATCACTTACAGGTTCACCAAATATATCATGTTCCGCTATAAATTAATATATAAATTTTTTTTTACTAATTATTTTATATCATCCTTTCTATATTTCTACTTATACTACTTACCGACGTCAAGACTTTGAGAAGTATTGCCATTAATACTTTCTCTTTTAGTTTTCACTGTACCAGATGATGAGACTTTGATTGGTTTTGACTGATCTTCATCCTCACATATAACCTCCCATTTAACATTAACTGCATCATTATCTACCCTTAATAAACGTTTCACTTCTTTTTCAATTTCTGGAGCTTCTACATATTTCTTCTTCAAAGTTTTCCTAAACCTCCTACGTCTAACATTTTTCGTAGGAGGAGTTATACCATGAGGCCATAAAAACTTCTTATCCACTTTATTAGGATCTTTTTTCTTTTGTCTAACTGGAGATTCTTCATCTGTGGTAGTATGATCATCTTCTTCCTTACAAATTAGCATCTATAAATAATGGAATAATAGAAATGCAAACTTGTGAGAACAATTTAAAATTAGTTATAAACATTTTTACCTGACATATATCAGCAGTTTTATAAAAACTTTTGTTATCAATAGTTTTCAAGGATTCTACAATTGTTGGTAAATCAACAACCTGAATTGTAACATTTTCTTCTTAAATTATTCTTTCATAATATTATATTTATATTTATATCTATATCGTACGAAAATATTTATTGATTTTACCTTTCCATGGAGAAGCCAATGATCAAATCTAACCTCACCATAACGCATATCATTTTCCAATTTTATACTTAGTCTATCTTTTAAGGATAATCCATTACGTAATGTTTCTCGTAAAACACGAGCTGGTTCCTTAAAAGGTTTAATTATTTATAATTATATTTGAAATTGGTTGTTCCATAATGTTGAATAGCTCAGTTTAAATAACAAAATAATGAATTTACCGGTGGTAAACGTAAAATAAATTGGCTTTCCAATTCTACTTGAAGTTCACTACGATTTTTATAATCCGTATTTGGATGACGATTCATATTTCTTCAATATTATATTGTAAATTTATTTAAAAATTAAAATATAATTTAATCAAAAGTTTCTGTTTATTATAAGTTTTTAATGATTTAATATTTATATAAATTTAAGTATCTCTGTAATATTTTACAATATTAAATCAAACTTAAAAATATTTATAAAAATACATAAAATATAGAACAGTAAACACACCTATTGCTTGTCATTATTTCGCGAATACTGTCTTTATTAACTTAGGTATAAGATGAATGTATAAACTGAAGTTAGTACCTTTTGATGCAGGTAATGAATAGTTGGACAGAAAGAATCGAATATATGTATATAAATAAGAAGTGATGTATTATATTGTTTAAGTAAAAAATTTTCTTAAAATAATTAATTTAATTTATTATCATATTTTTTAAAGACAAGTACTTATTTATTAGGATGTCACGTATGACGTAATGATAATTACTATTCAGTCTATTCAATGTAAAATAATATAGGTAGCGTTTCTTTAAGATTTCGCTCAGTTTTACTTTGAACGTTATGTTTGAGTGTATTTGATTTAGTTTAAATATTTGATTTGTAACTCACAAGTTAAATAATTTTATTATATTTTATAGAAAAACGATTTCTATATTATTTATTTTATTTGTGAAACGTAACATGTGAAGATACACATGGGCATCAATAAATTGCGGTAAATAAATTCGTAAACACGAATTTCAAATTAACAATTGACACAATTAATGTATTCATATTATCAAGCACGTAGAAATTTTTATTTCATATGTTTGCGCATTTACATTAATTATTTTGATCCATCAAAATATTTTACATACATTAAATTTTTATATTGTTTTCGTTGAAATTATTCTAGTCTATAGCAATGTACAAGAAAAAATATTTACCATGTGATCCTCAATAAAACATTGTATTATTTTTGCTATATATTTAATTAATCAATTGAATAATGCATTTAATTTGAACATATTAATGTATATAATTGTTTCGCTATTCCAACAAATAAATTGTGTTATACCGGGAAGTAATTCTCATTCGCTAAAATGTTTACGCCTCATCAGCTCTGTATCAATAGAAAATACATTTGCGACGTTTTATGCGTCGTATATTTTCATTGTGAATAACTTAACAGGTCCATATGTTTATAGTTACGCTATAACAGTAAGTGATCAATGGAACATCGGACTTTGCGCTCGCGCCGTCGTACTTCTGACGTCGATGTATATCGCTTTTTTTGCTTCGAATGTTTGTAATTATATCAGTGAAAAATCATGTAATTTGCAAAGTGTATCAAATCTAAAAATTTTAATTATATATATGATAGTGAGTGTAATATTCGCATCCTTGCTCTTTGCGCTTTAGAACCTTTTTGTACGTGTAATTAATCATTATAACACGTAATTATTGACTAGACAAACAATTGTTCAAAATCAGGTATGTGTAATTACTTTACGTAATATCTTTTTTACACATATGCCAGTAAATTTACCTTAACAGTAAAATTATTTATATAATTTTTGATGCATGATAAAATAACAAATGGGATTTTGATATGTTTTGCGTATTATTTAAAATTTTTTCATTGTTATTTTTATTTAAGTAATTGTTGTTATCTATTATAGTGCTTATTTTGTAAAAAAGAAAAGTGACATACTCAAGAGACATTTAATTATGATTACGTAGCATTTTATAATGACAAGTATTATCTACTGTTTCCATTATTGTGATGTGTATCATTTTCTTAATTCTGATAACTACTAATAGTTGATGTGACTATTTTTTATTGTGTTAAAATATAATTTTTTTGTGTTTTTACTCATTTTCAAAATTATGTACCAAGATCATTTTAATTATAAGACATATATGTTTAACACAATAGATCCATAATGATTTCCCAACCAATTGTGGTACCTGGGGGTGAACATCGATCACAATCAGAAACTCATTCTATGTCTGTTGGAAGTACTTCTGATTCCTTTAAAACTATGACACCACCAAATGTAAGCAGATCACTTAGTAATCGTAAGTATCATATAAATTTTATAATTTTAAATTAATTTTTATGTTCTTAAAAATAAATGTACCATAAAGGTTTAAGAAAAATATGTTGGCACATAATTATTGACTATGGATGTCAATTTAGTTATATACATAATTGTATACATGATATTAAAATTTAATTAATTCAGTGAATAATTTTCTATATATATATATTTTCTTCTTATTGGTGGCATTCAATTATAATTTATTATATCTTTCTAAAAAATTATTTCTAAATTTATAGTGATTTAGTGGTTAAGAATATTATTTTAATAACTTATTAAGTAATTTGTAAAGTGAATATACTATAGCTAATTACCATTTAAAGGTGTTAATGACAGTGGATATGGTATATTACCAAGTAAGCTAAGTAGGCTTATTAATATGTATTATGTGCATATAGTTGCAAGTCTCAGTATTAGAATCACAAAAATAAATAAGTAGATGTGTACACACATATGTATAATATTCTGTTTTCAGATTATGCATATTCTTTCAGTTAAAACTTATTGCATCATCATCTTATGTTATCAAATAAACTATAAATAAAATTTATAATACATGAATTGATCTCATTTGTTGTCCAAATGTGATCTCTGTTAATATTGTCGCATTAATAAAGAAGATAACTTGTACTATTAGAATTACTAAAATACCATGTTACTGAATGTATCAGGTTAACATAATACATTCATGCTGTTAGCACATTTTTCATTTCTTAGTATGTTATGGTATATTATATAGACATTTATTGATAAGTTTTTATAAGGAATATTATGTGTAAGCTAGAAAATAATGTTTTCTTAGTATTTCAATATTCATAGTGCATGAATAATTTTATGTTACTTAGATGTAGTATAACTGGTGCATGTACTAGTATTGAAATTTATTATTATTTTTGCTTTATGTTCTTTAATAATATTCAAATAAACACTCTTTATTCAAAGGTACATTTCTCAATATTTAGAATATAAAATAAATTCTAATTTCTGATGCATACAAACTTTTCTAAAGAATTCATAGATTTTTACACATTGTAAAAGTCTATGTACACATTTTATTTATTGCTACAATTGTTTTTCTTTTACAATTTCATATATTAGATTAAATTTAGAATCATGTTATCTTTAAAAATTAATATTATTAGCAGTTCATAGTTAGCATTGCTAAAATGGATTTATACTTTGGAATGCAATATGGTGCAATTTAATCATAGTATTTTTACTGGTGAATATGTCAGCTTAAAAATTAAAAAATCTGTGACTTCAAAAGATAAATATCTATATAAATCTGTAAAACATATATTTTCATGAAACAGTTGTAGAAATATTGATAAATAGTAATAGTAACTGAAAATAAAACTAAATATATAGAACCAGTGGATCAACAACTTCGACGAAGCAGTGTTCAAGTTCAGTCTGCAACATTATCTAAACTTCCATCAACAGAGTCCTTATCAACAAGTGTAAATTTTGCAACTGCTGCACCTCCACTATCTCCAGGTATAATCATAAAGTTATGTTAATGATTGTAATGGACAGTAATTCGTAATTTATTAGGTGCTTTTTTTAACTTTCGTATAAATTAATATAAAATGTTTCACTTGTTCGAGTAGTTGATTAGTTGTAAGGAAGTGCAAATTTTCTTATTTCCTGTTTGAAATTGCATACTATTATACTGATTTATGAGCTCTGAAATGTAATTTTTATATACTATATAACCTTCTGTGGCTGACAAATTATTACATATGTTTATTAAATACTTTACTATTATGAATATAAGTTTTAAGTCAATCATATTTTTGTATAATAATTACATATAAAATTTATAGTTCATAAGTGCTACATTATTTAACTTGCAATTAAAATAAATATAATCAGTATCTTTTATTCAATACGATCTTTTAATGTAAATGAAAAAATGTGGGTTTGGAAGGTCTAACAAAAAGATGCTAACTGCATAATGCGTTATGTTAATATGATCTAATATATGAAATAATTTTTTGTGTAAACTACAAAATAATTACTATACTTTATAATAAATAAAGTGTATCTTATTATTTAATTTTATATATTTTTCAATTATAACTTCTTTTAGATATCAATAAATTTATATTCCTATAAAATTATTAAAATTGTATTTACCAAGCTTGTTACATGAATGTTTTAAACTCAATTATTTTTAAGGTTTCTGATTTGAATTAATTATATATTAAAAAAGTATATCATATACTAGACACAGTTATAGTTATAATTCTTTACATAATGTTCCATCAAATCATTTATCAATTTGAAACTGTATACTGCCATTAATACATTTGAATAATTTTACAAAGCACATTTCGGTATGAAATCTGAAGAAAATCTTTATAAAAATCATTTATATTAATCATCAAATTAATCAATCAATTTATATTAATTTTATTTAGTAGTTTATTTAACATATGATGTTTTGAATTACGTAATTCACACTAAAAATGCTTTATGTAATAACTATCTACTATTTTTTATTAACATTTACTTCTAAACATTACAATTTATTGCTAAATTAAAATTGAATGAATGTAAATGTATTTTTATATTATTATAATATCAATGTTTGCCTGATATTTAATCAAATAATTTTTAAATAATTTATTTTTTATAGGACTATCTACAATGGGTGAAGCAAATCAAAAGATAGATAATGCATCTGATAAGGTACAAGATATTTAGCTGACTGTTTGAAAACATTGGAAATGTCTTTTTATTTTTATATAATTTTAGTCTTTAGATTCTTGTAAGTTAACAAGAAAAGAATCATATAAGGCTCAAAGAAAAAATTACCGAATGGAAAAGAAAAGAGTTGCCAATGAACTTTTAAGTTCATTTAAGGATCCAACTGTTATTGTGATGAGTGATTGGCTTAAAGTTCGTGGCACATTAAAAAGTTGGACAAAGCTATGGTGTATTCTGAAGCCTGGTTTGCTACTGCTATACAAAAGTCCAAAAACAAAAGTGCTCATCTATATAATTACTTTTAATTATAGCATTTATTTGTTACATTTATAATTATACTCAAATAATTATTACAGAGCAATCATTGGGTAGGAACAGTTTTACTTAATACGTGTCAAGTAATAGAACGCCCAAGCAAGAAAGATGGATTTTGTTTTAAATTGTTTCATCCTCTGGAACAATCAATATGGGCTCCAAGGGGTCCAGAGAAAGAAGCCATTGGTAAATAATGAATTTTTTATAAATTAAAAAATGTATTGTTATTTGATTATTTTTATAGGTGCTGTTGTACAACCTTTGCCAACATCTTATTTAATATTTAGAGCACCTTCACAGGCAGCTGGTAAATGTTGGTTGGATGCACTTGAATTATCTTTACGTTGTTCTTCATTAATAGTACGTTCAACAAGTGCATTGCCACGTGCTCTACCTCATGATACTACAACGACTCATGAAACTCAATGGAGTGAAGCAGATTATGAAAAACACTTTGATGAACATGGTAGGTATTATACAATTGTATTTTTTGTGACATAAAATAAATTTTATATTAGATAAAATAATAGTTTTTGCTAAACTACTCTTTTTCTTTCAAGAAATTTGCATTATAATTAACTTTAAAAGGAAAAATACTTAATTAAAATTTGTCTTGAGTTTTAGTTATATTAATTAATTATATTATTATTGTTCCTTTCCTGACATTTGTCACCCTGAAATACTTGCTTTTAATATCTACAGTATGCTTATCTGATTGTGCTCTTACAACACCTCAAAGATATTTATTATCGTATCCTCGGTCTTTAACACCTTCTATGACAAATGATTCTAAAAGTGTTTGTTCTTCACCAACTCCAATATTTCAGCAGTTTTATCATACAATGGCATATTGGGATAAGCAATTTCATGATAGAGCTCCAACTCCTACTGTAGATACAGAAATTATTTTATCTTCGAATTCTGTAGATGGATTCGGTGATGAAGATAATTATTCCCATTTTGAATCTACTACTTCCAAACCCATTTCATCTACTACTCAGCAAATAACTGTTCCTTCTGTACATGTCCTGGAATATGACACCTCAACAGTAGTAATGCTAGATCCTATGCACTCCTCACATACAGACCTGGATGACATTAGCCAGCCGGAGAACGGTGTAACAGCCGATGTAGAGATCAGTGCTTCGGATAGTGAATCTGAAGGTTCTGCTAAAGAAGATCAACAAGAAGTTATTAACGAAACTCCATATACCGCGAATGAACAAGAAGTTCTTGGAGCGGTAAAATAAATTATGCTGCACTATATATTATATTTATAGTCAAAATTATCTAATATTTTTGTATTTGTATTTGATATACAGGCGGGAGAAGTAGTCACAGAATTACAAGAAGAACAAAAATCTTTAATATGGTGTTTGATGAAACAGGTTCGACCAGGCATGGATTTATCAAAGGTAGTCTTACCGACCTTTATTTTAGAACCTCGTTCGTTCCTAGAAAAGTTGGCTGATTCTTATTACCATGCAGATTTATTATCACAGTAGGTATAGATATAAATAATTACTGAAGAATGTTTAAGTATATTTTTATACAAACGCTTAAATTGTATATAAATGTTGATATTTATGTATTTTGTTTTTTACTTTTTAGAGCAGTAATAGAAGATGATGCATTCACACGTATGAAAGGAGTTGTTAAGTGGTATTTATCTGGATTCTATAAAAAGCCTCAGGGTTTGAAGAAACCATACAATCCACTTTTAGGTGAAACTTTTCGTTGTTATTGGCAACACTCTAATGGTTCAAGGACTTTTTATATAGCTGAACAAGTATAGTGTTTATTAGAACCTTCTTAATCTTTAATGCTTATGTACTACTATACAATTTTTATTACTATTATAAACTTATATGAAACATTTCAATATTAATAGCTATCTCATCATCCACCTATATCTGGGTTTTATGTTACAAATCGCCAAGATGGATTTACTATTAGTGCTACAATTATTGCTAAATCTAAATTTTACGGTAAATATGCGTTTTTTCATTTTGTCTATAAAAGATTTCTCTTGAATAATTATTATACAAAACTATATAAATTATTAGTAAAATAATTATATACAAAATAAATTATTAATGATTTAAATTATGTATGAATTATTTAATTATTATACAAATATTTTTTTTAGGAAATTCAACATCAGCAATTCTAGATGGTGTTGCAATATTGACAATGTTACCCAGAGGAGAAGATTATACAATGACAATACCCTATGCCCATTGTAAAGGAATTCTTATGGGAACATTATCTATGGAATTAGGTGGAAAAGTTCATATAAATTGCGAAAAAACAGGTTATCATACTCAACTAGAATTTAAACTCAAGGTAACATGAAATATTATATAATAATAAATATAAATTTAATTGGTTATTCATTTAATAGCCATTCCTTGGAGGTGCTGAACAAATGAATCAAGTTACAGGAGGAATACGTCTAGGAAAAGAAACTCTTGCTACTATATCAGGGTATTGGGATGGTCAAATACTAATAACAGATAAAAGAACAGGGGTATGTTAATCACCTAAAATTCTATGTACAATAAATCAATACTATATCAACTATTCTTACAGCAAGAAAGTGTACTTTTCAATCCTACTTCAGAGGTACGTAAGAAAAGATTGAAAAAATACACTGTACCTCTAGAATACCAAGGTTTATGGGAAAGCGAGAAATTATGGTATGATGTTACCCAAGCAATCAATAGAGATGATCAAGTTACTGCCACTGAAGCAAAACGTCAGTTAGAAGAAGCACAGAGAGAACGAGCTAAAGAACGAAAACTTAAAGCACAAGAATGGGTTCCAAAGAATTTTGTTCAGGTAATAGATAATAATAAAATTAAAAAGTTAAAGTATTTTTATTCTTAAAAAAAATTATTTTTCATTACTAACAGGATATCATAACGGGTAATTGGGTTTATCGACATGCAGATGTTCGACCATGGGATCCTAGAAATGATGTTGTGCAATACGAACAAGATTATATAGTGCGTACAAAAACTAGACACAAAACACCGATTATGCGTACTGGAAGCATCGTTTCCACTGAACCACAGTCCCAGGTATAGGAACACAAAAATTAATAAAATAAATAGTATATCAATATATAACATTCATGCATTCTAATAAGAGTTTTAAAATACTTTTATCTAATCATTTAATTCCACGCGAAAAAATAATTCGTTACACACACTTTAGTATTTTATATTCTTTATATTATTTAAAACATTCAAATGAATTATGTAAATTAATTAGAATCATAATAAAATCGTTTCATTTAATGGAAGTTATAGGTACTTAAAAATACACAAAAAAGTAAACAAATAGTTTGTCTAATCATAAGTAAGCAATGATTTTGTTTCAGATGATATCTAAGCTTTGATAATAGTATGTTCGGTAATAGCAATTTTGATAAAACATTTATACTTTATTTTTATTGATAGTTACTATATATAATAAAATTTTAATAATCATTCAAAATAAGATTACCATATTAAATTGTTTAATTGTAATACAATTTATATACGACTTTATTATTATATGTTATATATGTTTCCAAGAAAAGAACAATTTTGTTTAAATTTTGTTTTATTTTTATGAAAAGAGATATGTAATTATTTTCAAAGTTTATTATTTGTATTACAGGTTCCACTTCTTCAAGCTGAATCACGTTCTTCACTCTCTGTATTAAAATCTTCCAAAAGACAATTGTCTAATAATTTACCATTAGCAGAGACTGCTCATGATTCTGGCAGTTCCTCTGCAGAAGTACATTCAGATTCTAGTCAGTCAGTAAGCAAACGGAAACGTTCTACTGCAAGGTAATTTCTTTAATTAATTTTATTTTATAAAATAACCATTAATGTTCTTCTCATAATTTTAACCAGGAAGGTATATTTGTAGGATAATAGATGTTATTAAAGATGTAGAAAGACAGATGATAGAATATGGTGATAAACTTAATCATGTACAACATATATTAGAACAACTTGTTATAAAACAAAGAGAACAAAGTGATCAACACCATAGTATAATTATGTTGAAAAACTTCATAGATACAATTCTTGTTATTATAATAGTTTTTTCTGTACAATACTTTGTAAAAATATGGACAGATGAAACTAGCGGTGACTGAAGATCGTACTAATAAGATCGTAGTATAAATTGTATATATTACTTATCTTGTCCCAATTTTGATCATCAGCTTTTATGTAAAAAAAAAAGCTTCGAAAGCAAACATCCTAAAATTTGCAGCACTTAATTAACACGTGTTCTTGGTGGTGGTAATAAAGGATGTTGTTTTTAATAGAGGATCGTTACAGAATAGATTAAAACAATTCAGAGGTATTAAAAATTCATTGAGGTAATCGGAGTGCAATATTATTTTATTTATAGTTTTCGATATTTTAGTTGTTGATTTGTACAATTATACATACTTCAATTATATACAAATGTATTAATATAGTTTATTTCCTAGTGGTGAATGTAACATTTTTAGTCTTTGTTAAATGATCTTCGTAGCAGTAATTATCTGTAAAATGTAAAGGGATTGAATTTCTTTGAGCTTGTGATGTATATAATATTTTATGTGTTAATGCACAAGAAAATAATCATATATTTATTTAGAAATTCTAATGATGATATAGTATTTATCGCAGGCGCTCAATAGTAGTGTATCGATGGTAATAATAAGGTAATCGTTATACAATTATAGGAACATATGTTATTATAAATTTTTCTTGTAATTATGGCAACTATAAAACAGGGAAGGCTAATTGCAATATCAAATGAAATGTAAAACCAATTTTAAAATGGTCATCAAGAAATAATAACTTAAAAATATTAACTGATTATTATTATTATTATTATTATTATTATTAATAAGAATAAATTTCTCACGAAATAAGTATCGAATATTAAAACTGTTTGCGTAATATGAAATAAGATTACGCTCAAAATTTTGGTAGATAAAATAAATTTATTTTGTATCATTTGCATCTTTGTATCAATAAATGTTTTGTGATACATTTAATATTAGAGTAACGCTATATATTTATATTTAAAGTGATTTATATATTTCATTAATTTAGAGTAATTTTTAAATATATTTATGAATAAGTGCAGATTTTACAAATTATTATGAATTGTTTATAACCTCATTAGATATATTTTAAAGTTTATTTCGTAAATACAAATTTAAAATTTCTAAAGACAGTACTTTTAGTACTAAAAATATGTAATACCATAGTAATTATAACGAATAATTTTCAAATTTAAGAATGTGTTATATCGATTTAAAATATATTGACAATATATATAACAAATATACAAAGAAATTCCAATAATTGAGTACGTTCGGGATTTTGATAGTATTGAAGTGCTAAATATGTCGGATAATTGGACTACAGTTATAATAGAATAAAAACAAGGAAAGTGATTTAAAAAACAATCACCATTTGTTAATATACTAATGCAACTTATTAACAAAAGTAAAATATTTGTAATTCAATTTGCACAAATAAATTGCAATATTTTAAAATAAAGTTTTGGATTACTTCTTAATTATTTAATGTGTACGACGGTGGTATTCTTCCTTTGTGTAAAATATATAGTTCACGATGTTTACCAGACAATGTTCGAAAAACAGTCATAATTTATACATGTCAGATTATTGGAATTCTATTGTAATGATTCAGGATAAAACATTCTTTATTAATTTAATTACCATATATACATATTTTAATAGATATTCTACATATATACATATATACATATAAATAATATTGCATTTATTATTAATATAAATTTCTTTTTTTCTTGTAATAGTAGTACTAATATAATATATTACATACAATTTCAAAACCAACATTTTTTATATAAGTAATTCTTAATAATAATTATTGATAATTGTTGAAAATAAACGTGCTCCAGGATTTCAACAATTTTTAAGCGTGTTACAGAAATCGAACGGCAGTTATATGTATAGGAAAAAGTCCAAAATATTGATTTCTATAACATAATAAAAAATTATCAAAATCCTAAAGGATTTTTATTACTTTCTAAATAATTATATTTTTTCTATCAGCATATTTAATGTAATTTATTAAAAACTACTAATTTTTGTTACATAATTTCTTTTTTAGCAATAAAATATTCCTTAATTATTTATGTGAAAATGATATACATATTTCACGTTTTTTAAAATATTATAATTAGTTGTAAAATATATTTTTCTTATATAAATACATATTAAGATAAAAATTAAATTAGATATTGAATCCGATTTCCTACTTCTAAGAGAAAAATGACAAGTATAGCCTTAACCTACATTCTATTCTGCACAAAAATTTCTAATTATTTGTCCTATTTTAATTTCTTTAATTTTTCATATATGGAAGGTTTCTTTATTATAATTGAGTGTTTTTCAATAACAGAAAGAATTTCAATATAAATCACGAAAAATAAGCATTTCTGTTGTGTAACAAAGAATTGAATGACATGCGAAAATTGGCTGAACTGATTGATCTTGTGTAAATGCGGCTAATGTGTGAACTTTATCAGGAGAGTGCAGGTCCTTCGAGTCACCGATTTAGTTGAAACGTTGCAGGTTTGTAGATTTCGTCATGCAGTTCCAGAATACATATCATTATGGCCGCAACTATTCAATAGTTTTTGAGATATTTATGATTAAAGTTTTATTACATTTTCAACCATAGATTTATTTCCAATAGTTTCCAAGTGCAGTTGTGACGGCAGCATTCGAGAATTCCTATGCTGGAGGTCCGGGATTCGATTCCCGTCTATAATTGGTAGTTTTTTTGCAATCTATTTTTTACTTTGTATTCATTTTTCGCTATGAAAACATTGTAAATAAACAATTGTAAATAAAATACCTTAATAAAAAAATTTATTTTTTACGCTTTCTTATGCTAGTATATATTTATTACAAAATAATAAGATTATGCAAGAAAAATACATTTTTATAGCAATCGTATTTACTACAGAAAGAAAATGAAAATATAAATAATTATCAGATACAGGAAATACAAAACCTATGTAAGTATTAAATATTAAATTAAACATTGTATAAGAATGTTGCTATAATTCCAACTTTGCTGTGCAATCATCATTCTGAAATATAACACATTAGTGTTAGACAACATTTCTCTATACTCTACATTTATCATTTAGCAACATTCAGACTCTATATTCAATTTATGTTTACCTTTCATAACAATTACCAAGTGTTCATTCTTTATCTCTTTAATGATCCTCATACTTAATGTTGATGCCACACATCCGTCTCTTGCATGTTTCTTGATTCGACACAATATACATTTCTTCTTCTCACTGTTTCCATTCAAACCACTCTGTTTTTTTTTATATACCTCAGCACCATCAATCTGAAACTTAACACATTAGGGATGATCACTGACTTTGACAACTGATATTAATATTTATTTAGATCAGGAATATAACATACCTTCAAATCTCACTGTATTATCTATATTTAGGTGTTATAAGAGATTATCACCTAAATTAATATCATTCCTTTTGTCTGCCTAAGCCATATCTATTTTCTGAATCTTTATTTCAGCATCAAAGATTCCTATCTTGTTATATGGTTAGGTAACCTATGTAACCTATGTTATATGGTTAGCAGACCTAGAATCCAATAGACATATTACAACATATTTGTATTGCAGCTTCAACCTTTTTTTGCTATAAAATATAATCCTTGACATCTAATGACTCTACGCTGGTGACATTCTATGAGTCCAATATTTCTCTACTGTTGCACGTGCCTGTTTATGTCCAAAGAATATTGTCTTGCACCTACTCTACGCTGTTATACCCAACAAACACAATTCAAAAACCGAATTTTGGAAATATTGGAGAAAAAAGTACATTGCACAGAACAATTTGAGAAACACTTGCACTTTCGCCACTATATTTTGAAAACACACGCTTGAAACCGAAAAGAAATATCCAATCCCGTTACAGAAAATTCCACTCTACGCGGATATATAGGAAAAACCAAAACCAAAAGTCTATTTTTCGAAATAGAAACCGAAAAAGTAAATTGCGTCGTACAATCTGACAGCCACTAACACATTCGGTACTATTTTAGAAAAACGCACACTCGAAACCGAAAAAAAATATTCAACCCCGTTAAGAAATAAATCACTCTATGCGAATCAGTGGAAAAATCCGATTCAAAAAGCCTAATTCAAAAGATAGAAGCCAAAAAAGTAAATTGCGTCGTACGATCTGACAGCCACTAACACTTTCGGCACTATTTCTCGAAAAACGCACACACGAAACAGAAAAAAAATATCCAATCCCATTATGAAAACAATTACTCTACGCGAATTAGTGAAAAAATCCTGTTCAAAAAGCCTAATTCAAAAGATAGAAGCCAAAAAAGTAAATTGCGTCGTACGATCTGACAGCCACTAACACTTTCGGCACTATTTCTCGAAAAACGCACACACGAAACAGAAAAAAAATATCCAATCCCATTATGAAAACAATTACTCTACGCGAATTAGTGAAAAAATCCTGTTCAAAAAGCCTAATTCAAAAGATAGAAGCCAAAAAAGTAAATTGCGTCGTACGATCTGACAGCCACTAACACTTTCGGCACTATTTCTCGAAAAACGCACACACGAAACAGAAAAAAAATATCCAATCCCATTATGAAAACAATTACTCTACGCGAATTAGTGAAAAAATCCTGTTCAAAAAGCCTAATTCAAAAGATAGAAGCCAAAAAAGTAAATTGCGTCGTACGATCTGACAGCCACTAACACTTTCGGCACTATTTCTCGAAAAACGCACACACGAAACAGAAAAAAAATATCCAATCCCATTATGAAAACAATTACTCTACGCGAATTAGTGAAAAAATCCTGTTCAAAAAGCCTAATTCAAAAGATAGAAGCCAAAAAAGTAAATTGCGTCGTACAATCTGACAGCCATTAACACTTTCTGCACTATTTTAGAAAAACGCACACTCGAAACCGAAAAAAAATATTCAATCCCGTTAAGAAATAAATCACTCTACGCGAATTAGTGAAAAAATCCTGTTCACAAAGCCTAATTCAAAAGATAGAAGCCAAAAAAGTAAATTGCGTCGTACGATCTGACAGCCATTAACACTTTCTGCACTATTTTAGAAAAACGCACACACGAAATCGAAAAAAAATATCCAATCCCATTATGAAAACAATTACTCTACGCGAATTAGTGAAAAAATCCTGTTCAAAAAGCCTAATTCAAAAGATAGAAGCCAAAAAAGTAAATTGCGTCGTACGATCTGACAGCCAATAACACTTGCGGCGCTATTTCTCGAAAATGCACGCTCGAAATCGAAAAAGAAATATCCAATCCCGTTAAGGAATAAATCACTCTACGCGAATCAGTGGAAAAATCCGATTCAAAAAGCCTAATTCAAAAGATAGAAGCCAAAAAAGTAAATTGCGTCGCACGATCTGACAGCCACTGAACACATTCGGCACTATTTCTTGAAAAAGCACCCACGAAACCGAAAAAAAATATTTAATCCCGTTAAAGAAAAGTTCACTCTACGCTGTTATGGCTAAAAAGCCTAACCGAGAAGCCTAATTTCAGAAATATAGGCGAAAAAAGTATAGTGTGTAGATCAATTTCACAGGCACTTGCTTTTCCGTTACTTTGTTTCATATATGCACCTTCAATCGTAAAATAATTGTCCCACTGGCTGGAGAACATTCTATTCTATGCAGGAGTAATGAAATATCTTAATGTACAATCAAAATTTAGAATGTAATAGCGATAATACATAACTATGTTGCAATTGAACGTCAAGATCGAAGAAAAATTGAAAAAACTATTATAAAGCTGCCTACTCAGTAATGTTGATTAAATATTCGAATGGGCAGTCGAAAGCTAGAATCTTCTACAGCAGATTGTAACGGACAATATGGTAATATTATAAGGTCCCGCATTCACACCACTTTATTTTGCACATGTATCGTTATACGATTTACACTATGCAACATCCCTTTTTTCACATCTAGTATATTAAGACCAAAGAAATGTTCATTCTTCGTAAAGTAATTAAAAGTCAATCAGCGATATCACTACTTCACGAAACAGTTTGAGATTTAATATTTCACTTTGTCTCGTGGGAATATTCCATCATTTGTTACCGGTATGCCCGCTTGCTGCTAACTGGAAGTTTGCTGCAGCCGGATACGCTAGGTATTTTTGTAGCGGGAAAATGTTGCATCTTTGAAATAGCTATGTGATAAAGCATCGATTTATAATATCAAACAATGTCTCTTATATTTAATAATATCAATAAAGCAATTATAAATATATTTCTGTTGCGAAAAGTTCCAAATTTCTATAATAAATTCATGAATTGGAATTATTTATTATTCCATTATACTAATGGAAAGACAAACCATTAGTATCTTCGGCAATGGTTCAAACACTTTATGCAATAACCATCAATAATGGATTAAGTAACAAGGAATTCATATCCAGAATTATATTAGAAAGCTTGCTAAGGTTGTCCCTTTACGATATAATTATAAAAGTTGATGAATTAATTGTAGACTACATGAAGTCACAGATGAAGGCGAGTGATTTTGTTCTTGGTAAAAAATAAAATGAAACTACGATGGTTATATGTTTAGGTACTTTTTATTCACTTTGAAAGTTTCACATATACACGTTAATTGTTAACAACATAATTCTTTGTTCCCTTTTTGCATCTATTAATTTATTTTTTATCCTTTCTTTCATTGGACTGAAAATATGACAGTCAATAAAAATTCCTACTTTCTATAACATAGTTATAATGTAAATAATAAACTAACTCTTTCTCTTTCTTTATAACTTCTAATTCTTCTTGAGTTCCTACTTTGTCATCACTTTCCCAATCGGTACTATGGTTTTCTTTCCTTTTTTATTTACAAGTCCAGGGGGTTCAACAGCTGGTTGTGAGCTTAATTTTGGATCAGTTAAATGATCATGAGCTGATTTGCCCTTACCACTAAACTTTTTATTTAATATCACAGATTCTTCTTTATCTTCCTCTACTTCTTCACCAAATGATAGAAGATTGAAATCTTTGTAAGAAAATTTTTCATTGTAAAGAATAATACTATCAGAGCTAAATTCTGTAAACATACATGATTTTTAGTTTACCGCTGCTGTCTTAGGTTTTGAATTGTCCTCTACTTCTTCGCTTTCCTGTACTATTATTTTTGGTATAATATCAGAAAATGGATTGTTCAATATTATAGTTTTTATCAATCTTGGAGGATAAAGTGGTCTATTATTCTACAAAAAAGAGGAAATATTATATTTATATCAATTCTTAATAAATTTTGTAAACATTAAATTTTCCTCATCTACAAGTGCTTCTTCAAGTTTAAGCATATTGTATATAGTTTCTCCAAGATTTTCCCAAAAATTGAATGTTTATTCTGCAAATCTGGTGTAGAACTAAGATTAAAGAAGAATTGAGAACCATTGTCATCTTTTCCAGCATTAGCCATAGCAATTAAATTTCATTGACAAAAACGTAATCTTGTATGAAATTTGTCCTAAAACATATATCCAATAATTATTTTTGAATAAAAAAGGAATTCATTTTATTTTTAAATCTAGTCTCATTTTAAATGGTTCTCCATATATTTTACCACCTTCTCCTGTGCCTGTGGGATCACCACATTGTGTTATGAATCCTTTGATAATTCTATGAAATATAGTGTCATCCTAATAACTTTTCATACATAATTGTATGAAATTTCTACATACCTTTGGAGTTCTTTTTGCCCATAATTCTAACTTAATATCACCAACAGTTGTTTTCATTATTACCTAATTATAACAAATATATTAGTTTTATTAATGTAAAATACTTTTAAAATAAAATTTATTAAAATTTAAATTTTTTATTGTAATTCAAATAAGAAATTATGTAATATATTAATATAGAAATTTAGAAAGTAAATATTGTATATCGGTTAAATCTTTAAAAACAGATATACAATCCATTGAAATATTATTAACTAATACTTATTACTTTACCCTTAGTGGCTCTTGAATATAAATATTATAATATTATATTACTCACGTTTGTAAGTCTTTTATAATAAAAAAATTCTTTGTCAATAATATTTCATATTAAATCTTTAGTCAATTATAAATCAGTCAACCAAATGGTTCTTTTCTCGAATAATCATCAGTAGGTAAGGCATACCTTTTACCTCCTTTTAACATTGGCTTTATTGGCCCAATAAATTCCATGTACCGTAGTCTCATTATTCCTGCAGCTGCTTTTGTAGTTTCCAAGTTCCTATAGATATTTCTACACATTTGTGCCTTAATGCAACATTTACAATCTATATTCAATTTAACTTTAATCATAAATATCTCAAAAACTATTGAATAGTTGTGGCTTAGGAATAGTTGTGGAATGGTTCTAGATTTTTTAATATGTACATAGATATGTACATATATCTTTTTAAATGTTTGCATTATTTTGATTTATTGTTTATATTAAGGACAATTCAACATTGTAAATGACATATAACATAATAATAAATAAAAAAAAACATATTTAAGAATAAAAATTAAATTTGCATTTATAGCATATTTTAATATTTCAGAACTAAAAAAAAAAGTAGTATGTGAAAATGTTAATCCTTAAAATTATGGCATCCCTTATGAATATCTGAACGATAAAATTATTATTTGTTAAACTTATAAATTTTAATACTACCTATAATAATTTTGAAATAATAATATGTTCAATTGAACTGTGTTAAAAAAATTTTTAGTTCGTATAAAATGAATTCTGATAACTTATCTAACTCACGTAAGCTATTATAAGGTTATATGTCCTTTTCGTTATTTTCGTCCTTATTTTCCTATTCTTAATAGTTGAAAAAATGATTAGGTTGTATTTTGATAACACCACAAATGATACGTGCAGCAGTGAAAAAGCTTCAGTTATATAAAGTTTATGTTCCATCAAATCTCATTAGTGATTATTTACGTCGATCGTACCCAGTTGAGAGTAATCTAAAAATATTTACTGAAGAATTAGAAAGAAAGTTGAATTGTGCTGTTCGCGTTGGATTAATATTGAAACACGGAGAAGATGCATATTATTTACCAACGCTAAGACAAGAAGCAAATGCGCTTAAAACGGCATTCACTGCTTTTTGGGAAATATATAAAAATGTAATTATAAATATTATTATATGATTTATTTAATTGATTTATTTATTTATTTTTTAGGATTCCAGAGTTCATTTTTCACAAGTCAGAAATCATAATAGAAATTGATTATATTTAAAAAATTAACTATAAATATAAAATGAGTTTATTAATTCATGTTATTTACAATATAAACATAGAATTAAAATAAAAACACAGATTATTCTAATTTTGATATTTATTCATTATATATATGAAATTACATAAACAAAATAATCACTATCCGATGAACTTCTGTTCTATTTGGATATTTAGATTTTTCTTTTTATTCTTTATTGACACTAATCTTGAAATATAGAGGGAAACCTTGATTTAGTTTTGAATAAAAGTATATTAAATAATTTCAAAAGGCTGGGAGACATATGAAAAGTGATATTGATATATTCGTCAATGTTAGAGCGTGTTTTAAAATTACTACACAGATTGTATAATAAAGTACCATGAAATACATTTTCAATTTTGGTTTGTAGATAAGGGCAGCCTAATAATTCATTCAAATCCATCATATGTATTAAACAACACTGAAATTCTGAAAATGTATGCACTATACCTCTGTCAAACATTTTTGGATTTGTAAGTAATTTCTGATCCATTTTAAAGTTAGAAATAAAAAATGGTGCTGCCAGTAGACAATCATCATAATCAATTTCATTAAAATCTTTAATGATTGTGTTATTTATCATAACATTGCACAACTTATGATAATTCTTTTTTCTTTTCTCAGATATAGTTTCAATTGTCTTCTGATATTTACTGAGAAAAGTATTCATAAATCTGTATTTCCCAATTTTAGAATCTATTATATTAAACAGCATACAAATAAACAAAGAATATAGATAACATCTATGAGATACAGGATTCTTCTGTTTCTGTATCCAATAATTAATACATGCAACATAGACTATCCATTCTTGTGGAAGTTCATTTATAAAATTAATATCTGTGATGCCCACAATATAATCAAAAATTATCATTTTTATAACTAATGGAGTTTCTTCAAGACTAGCTAAAGAATTAAGTTTATAAACACTTGTATTCTCTAAACCATATTTTATGGTATCTATGTACTTCAACTTCACTGTTGAAATATTGTGTTTGAAATTACATCTCTTTATGTAGCTCATATAACATATTTCACTATTCATTAGTGATTTCAAAAATCCAAATATAATTTGAAGAATTTCTAGACTACATTGAATAATAGGTGTATGAAAATAATCTTCTATCTGTGCATAAGGAATATAGAAATGATGAACAATTAAATCCATAAAATAACTTGGTATCATAGCTGTCTGATATTTCTTCAAAAACCATTGAGGTAAATTATTAATCACATTTATATTTTCATCTTTTTCTACTACTACTTCTTTTTCATCATCGCATTGCATGCATATCAATGTTTTAATATCTTCATTAAATTCAAGTCTTCTCTTCAAATGATATGTGCTTATTTGAATAATATAATCATTTGGGAAGTTGAAAGCTTTAAGTATTCTAGTAGGTAGATTATTATAATGATTTATATTGGCTACTATTAAATTTAATATTGTCTGGCGAATAGATATGGTTAATTTATGTAAGATATTAGTGATAGCATTATTTAAATTAAAATGACATAACCAAACCAAAATTCTTTCTATACGCTGTGTTCTTGATACTCTTACTAATCCTAGCTGATGAAAGAAATGCTTAAATACATTACAATCCACATAATCATTGCCCAACAGTGTTGCAAATAATGGTATTACTGATTTATGTAATCCATCAAAACATTGTACTAAGTATTTAAGTTTATATATTTTACATTTTATATAATTATGTCCAGTAGAACTTTTAATTATATTAATGTCCAATGTATTAAATGGTATGTATGATATATCAAATATATAAAAATCTGAATCAATGCTGAGAACTGGACAATTTAAGGTCTTTGCCAATGTAGCTATACTAGCATCAGCTTCCATTAGATCCTGTACATGACATATATTTTTTTCTTTTATTATAGACATAAAAATACGGTGTACAAATAAAGGATAATGCTTCATGTTTCTTTGACTATGTACGTCAAATTGTAATGCATTCTTTATCTTTCGTTTGCAACAATTAATACACGATTTTAATTTCTTTGATTCAGTTAAACCATCAAATATAATTAAAGGTGTAATATTACATTTTAATAAATTGTCAAAGAATTTTGTCACACATTCTGAATAATCACTGTAATCACCACCAAATACACAATTACATTTGGCATAAAATGTATATATTTGATAAGCGATGTTGTTTCCATCAATTATTAAATACGTATCATGTAAGTTGTAACATTTCAAATAAAGTTCTGAATTATCGTTTATATATGTAGTTAGTCCAAAAATACCCATTTTTTTGTAGTTTGGACCAAGATATAGAGAAATCGTAAATGAAGCTCTTAAGAATCGATTGATATCTGACTGGTAAAAAAGAAAAAAGTAATATACTGTAGTTTAATGCTACAGTAAAATGATTGGTTATTTGTTAGAACTTCACTAGTTGGGGCGAGGAGGGGGATGGTTAGTCTGATAAGGAGAGTGCAAATCCTTTGAGTCATTGATTTAGTTGAAACTTTGTAGGTTATCCAGTTCAAGAAAATGTACCATTATAAGGGCAACATCAGTTAATAAATATATATATAAAAATTTTGTATGATATTTTAAAGGATATATATTTATCTAACATATCTTGTTTTGTTACAGGATTAATTTAATTAATTTTATTTTATTTTTATGTACATTTAAATGTATGTAATGTTATATGTATTAATGTTATATGTATTAAATGTATATAACAATTTAGTTAATGGAAAATATTAACATCAAAACTTAATATATATATTGTATATAATCCATATATATTACAAAAAATATAAAGCATTTCTTTTGTGACATAGTGATATATATTATTGGAATGACTTATTTGCAAAACCCATTTTGCGGCTCACTACATGTTATTTACAATTTGGCTGAAAAAGGTGAAACAAATATATATTTTATTGTGTTATCATTGAAATAATTAAACAAATATATAAAAATATTATCAGTTAAAAAATCAAAACTTAATCATTCTTTAAAAGTTATCTATGAACACATAAAATGGATCATTAATTTTAAGTAAACATTAAGAAAACAAAATACATGTGCATTGAAGATGTATTGCATAAAAACATATTTGAAACCTGGAAATATACATGAAAAAAGATATTAAAAAGATACTATAAAGATACTAAAGCTAAAAGTTATCAGAAAGTATTTAGAATACTGTACAGTTGTTACTTGCTCCAGAATAATTAATAAACTCATGTTTATTTGTAAGTGCTTTATCCCTTTCATCCCATAACGTAAGTCCATCACAAGCACAGATCATCTTTGTATTTTGTAATAAGCCTGATGATCGAGCAATGATACCACAAGCTAGTCTGAAAAAATATATATGTGTTATGACAATGTTATATAATATGTTGTGCTGTTTACCTATTTCCACTATTTCCATCTATTTTAGATTGTGAGTTAGCACCTCTTCCCAAATCATCTGGCTTTTCTGTTATAACTAAAGATCTTCCAATAATATCAGGAATTTTTATAAATTTATCTATAATTCTAAAAGTAGTTCTACCAAAATTATCGACCATTATGTTTCCCAAATCTCCAACATGCTGTAATAATATTATTTTTATTCAAAGATAATTTATTGTGATTAATAACTAGTTATGCCTGTATTAAATTTATAACATTAACCAAAGTTTTCTTTGTAATATTAACAGAAATTTTAATATTTACCCGCTTAAATATATCATCTTCAGGTCCACCGTGTTCTGCATTAGTTGGGTTAAAATGTTCTCCAACACTAAAAATATAACATACGATACAGAAATAGAAAGAAAAGGTATAAGAAGAAAATCAAAATTAAAATTAAGAATATATATGCTTACCTATTACAACCTTGAGAAATATCACCACATTCGTGAATGTGCATACCATGTTTGCCAGATGTTAAACCATCGATAGTTCCATCTATGATACATCCATCAGGAGTTTGTGCAAATCTTATTACACCTATTATTTTATTATTTATACTGTATCCTGAATTTCCTCCTAATATTGCAACTGCACTAGAATTGTCTATAACATAATTCATATTTATATTTATATTTTAAAAATATTATATTTTATATTTTAAAATGTTATAAATGTTTTACTATTATTATTGTTTTTGCTATTACTACTACTATTACTGTCGTTTTGCTGTCGTTATAGATATTGTTATTGCCATTGCTATATTACCTCCATATCCTTTCAAAACAGCTTTTTTTCCAGATTCTTCAATTTTTTCTTGAATTATAGAATACGGTAAATTTGTCTCAATTATAACGTTTCCTTTTTCCAACGATATATCAATACTTTTAATTCCACTTATGCCGGTTAAAGTATTTCGTACTTTATCGACGCAATTTTGACAAGTCATATCGACTGCAAATTCAATCTAAAATTTAAAAAAATATGTATTATTATTATTATAATATTTATTTTTTGTTTATTTCTATAATTTACCTTTGTTGTGGACATTTTTATATATCTTTATATTATTTGCAAGCAAAATGTGCTAAATTAGTTTCTTTATATGGTAAAATAAGATAAATTTATCTTTACTGATTTAAGGTTATATTTTTCATAATATGATAAGATTATATACTTTTTACATGAGTGAATATCTTAATAAAATTATGGTGGTATCAGACGATATACTAAAACAATTTTCATCAGCAGTATTAGAATTTTTTTTACTAAAATATACAGGATGAAATAATGATTCGATATACGGGAATACCTTTTTTTTAGTCAAATTTAAATATAGTAATCTTTATATTTATTATTACAGCAAAATATAAATCTATAAAGCTACTTTTTTAATTTACATAGTAATAAAAAATTGAACTCATTTTATGAAACAGAAAATCTTTCAATCGCTAATTTTATCATAAATTGTAAATATTTATATTTATTAATAAATATATGGTCTTTTCAATATTTTTATTAAAATTATTTTTAAACCAATATAATATACATATTTTCATTAATATAAATTACTATGTAACAAATTTTGAGTTTTTATTGCTGTATTATCATGTATATTTTACCATGATAGTTCGCGTATTTGCCACATGGTACGCTCTTCTCCCAAGCTTTCTATTTTAGAAATGGATATTCACCATATCTTATTTGCAAAACTAAAAATTTTACGAAGGAATTACTAGCAACAATTCACTGTATTTAAGATTTCTCTTTTGTAAAGATCCATCTTAGTAAGTCGGAATTGTGAATTTTCGTGCTTTTAAAACAAAGTTACGTTAATGGTGGCTCCTTTTTGCACGTAAAGAAGGTACAGTGTAGCAATGTGGATAACGAATACTGTAATAAGGTCTTAAAGTTTCAAAGAATAGTATAGTGATTCAGAAGAAGAAGCTAGCGATTCATTAATTAAGTGAAAAAGAATAGGAGCAAAAATAAATTACATCTATCCGATTTTTCGACCTTCAATTGATAAGTTATCTGAAAACATGTCCGTGACCTTTGCTCAGCGCGGCAGGCCGCCACCGAATCCTGCTCAAATACAGAAAGTAACTAATATTACGTATTACTATTAATATTGTATTGTGTCATATTTTTAAAATGTTATTGTTATATAGTTTTATAATATTTTACAAAATAATATTTCATTTTAAAAAGTATTACAAAAAGATACTTAATATTTAAAATTACAATATTTTAAAGAATGACTTTGTTTGCACAGATGCTTGATGAAAATAGTCAGCTTATACAAACAATTCAGGAATATCAAAATAAAGGAAAACCTCAAGAATGTATACAGTAAGTGATAATTATTTTTAAAGTATATATAAATCACTTAAATAAATACATAATATGATTTCTTTTTAGATATCAGCAAATGCTACACCGTAATTTGGTATATTTGGCATCCATTGCTGATGCAAATCAAAATATACAAGCATTATTACCTGTAAGAGATATTCTAAATATTAAAAAAAATATTAAATCATAACATTTAAGTTGGGAAATATATGAACATTATTCTTTGTTTTTTATAATAAGCCTCCACAAGGAATTTCTAATGGGCCGCAACATGGTATGATGAACCCACAAGGTCTTCCTAATGCTCCTACAGGTTCAAGTGGACCTGGAGGTGATATGCCTCCAAATACTCAACCAACATTACCAATGTCAACCTTTAGTCAAGGACAACCAATATCGCAAGGTGGATACCGTGGTCCAGTTATGCCTGGACAAGGTCCTGCTATAAATAGTATGTTATATTTCAACTTAATATCTTTCACTTTTTAAAAATTAATCTTATTTTTTATTTTAATATCTTATTATTTCAAAGGACCTCCTACTGCTCCTGGACCACAACAATATAGAGGACCACAAGGATATCCTCAACAACCTTCTCAACAAAGTTATCCTACTCAGTATGCCAATCAAACTCCAGGATCTAATTATCAAGGACCACAGGGATCAGCATATACTCCAGGTCAACCAAATCAATATGGATCACCAAACACATCTCAACAACCGGGATATAGTACATCAACACAACCAACTTATGGTCCACCAACTACTGTGAATAGTTACGGTCCACAGCCAGGTGGATATCCACCACCAGGAACAACTCAGCCCCCTACAGGATATGGTCCACCACCACCAAATCAGCAAAACTACCCACCTTCTAATCCTTCTCAACAGAATTTTCCATCAAGTGGGCAACAACAACAACCTGGACAATATGGTAGTCCTAGTCCACAACCAAATTATCAACAACCTCCATCTCAAGCTCCACCACAAAATGCATATGGAGGTGGTCAACCTGGAAATTATCCTCCTCCTTCATCGCAAGCATATGCAAACAATGTTCCGCCTCAAAATTACCCAGCTCCTCCTACATCTAATGCTCAACCCCCTCAACCTGGATCTCAACAAAATACTGGTCCTCAACCAAATTATGGTAATCAGCCAAGCCCTGGACCTGGTGCAACACAATATGGTCCAGCTTCCACATCTCCACCATTTAGTACTGCCTCTGCCAGTGGAGTAAATACCTATGCTCAGAGTAGTCAACAGACTAGTACACCATCAGCTTCTACTCAAACGTACCCACCAAGTAGTGCTCCACCACCTACTTCACAGGGAGGAAGTTACGCTCCTCCAGGTCCTGCTCCATCTGGATATCCTGTGCATCAAACACCACATCCAACATCACATCCACCACATCAACCACCTCATCAATCTCCACATCAACCTCCTCATGCACCCCATCAACCATCTCATCAACCTTCACATCAATCAACTCATCAACCTCCTGCACATCAATCTCCACATCAATCACAACAGTCTCAACAGCAATCTCAGACACCACCACAGTCTCAGCAGCAACAGTCTCAAAATACTGCTCCAAGTGGATTTCAACCACCTTCAGGACCACCACAAGGTCCTGCTCCACCACCAGGACCACAACCACAGCCTGGATATGGTCCAGCTACTACACAGACATATGTACCACCAACACCAGGCGGACAGCCACAGGTATTAGAAATTTAAAAACAATATTTTTTAAATTGTTTTTAATACAAATTTTGTATTTATAAAAGATATGTAAATTCTAGGTATATACTCCTCATCCGCCTCAAGGTGGTCAACATTATGGACATCCACAGTATCCTCCTCAAAGTTATCCACCACCACCAGCAGGACAGGGATACCCTCAATATCCACCACGACCACCTGGTGGTCACATGCCTCCTCCTCCTGGACCTCAAGGACCTCCACCACCAAATCAGTATGGTGGTTATGGATATCAACCGCCTCCACAATAAAATACATATTAATGTAAATTCGTACGATATTCATTCTAATATAAAAATGATTTAACTACAAACGCAGAACAAATGGTATATAAAACTTTAATTCTTAATAGCATATCGTCCAGTGTTACATAATGAAACAAATAACAGAAAATATATATTACTAAAGAAAGGTGCTGTTAAAATTTCATTATGACTATAATGGTGAAAAATTGTTCAGAGCTTTTGAACAATTTTAATTATCTTAGGTAAGATATGCGATTTAACATTACATATAAACAAAACTTGTAAACACTGCAAATTGTATACGTATTTTTATGTGTTCAAAAAGCTTCAAAGAATATATTTTGAAAGTTTTGTTTTATGAAAAATTACATTGTTCAAAAAATATTTGAATCACTAAAATATTGCTATAAATCAATTAATGAGATATCATGATTTTAGTTCCATACATTTGTATTTCATATTTACATAAAGAGTGATTTCTGTATAATATTTTTTTGTATGTTTAAACGACTATAAATCTTTATTATTTAAATTTGGCATATACACAAACTCATACAACGCTTAGCAACGTGTCTAGTTTGAAAATTTCGGTATGGATAATACAGCATAAACATATCTGTTACACCAAGATAGGATATATGGAACATAGTACAATATTGTACTATCTAATTTACAGCTTTCAGTATACGTTTGTCTTAGAATTAATTTTATATTTACTTACCTAATTTTATATTTTCTTGATTATTATTAAATGATTTATGAATCTATATATTGATTCTTTGTCTTTTGCCTTGAATAATTTTTTTTATTTTTTCAAGTACATAAAATAAATCTTCACTTTGGTAACAGTATATTATAATATTTAATTTTACCTTTTAATTGCTTTATATTATGAAATATATATGTATAATATTTTTGTCTGTTTTTCGTTTATATAGCTTATTGTTTAAATAAAAATCTGAATGATTAAAATTGGAAAAGAATTTCATAAAACAATATATTTTCATGTGGTAAAATCAAAACTGGAGTTTTTTAACATTGGAATATCTTGAGTACTTTAAAATCAATTTTTTTTCTTTTGCTGCTATTTACTGTAAAGCAATGACATCTGTTAGTTACGAAAAGTATACAAAAGTTTCATGTATGGTATTTATGCATATAAAACCAAGCATAAGAAATAAATTGTATTAATAAGAATTCTCTTATAACTCTTCTTTAAATTTTATGTTGTTGTTGTAGCATGTACAAGAATGCTTGGGTTGCAATACTTCTTCCATGTTATCTAATACTTTAATTTTACTCTTTAAGCGTTTACTCCATTCCTAAAGTGTAAAGAAAACATGTTATTCTATGACATACATTTAAAGGAAAAATAAACGAAGTTGAATCTCTATAATTTTAACTGAAATTTCTCACATGAAACAAAGCTATATGGTAGCATAGCACATGGTGTGGTAATAAATTATCTCTTGCAAATTGTCTAGCAGATTTGACAATTTTTAATGCTTCCTGGTCATGACTTTTCGCCCAAATAATTTTTTTAACAAGATCTGACAAATTGTTTTTAACAGGCACATAATGTTCTCCAGGTATGAGATTGTTGTAAAAAAATTCATAGTATTTTGATTCTTGCTTTAATACTAAAGCATCTCCAGCAAGTAAGTATGGAAATCGATATGATGCTACTGTACCATCAATATTTAACTGATACTTATACTGCACAAATGTTAATGCTTTTCAGTTATTGATACATTTGTAATTGAATTGCATAATTCACAGATTTATTTTACCTTAAAATAATCAAAGAAAGATACATGGCTTTTTCCAGGGCCATATTTATCTATTTTATCTTTAAAGAAGAAAAAATTGGTAATTGACACATTAAATAAGTCAGGATATTTTCTCGAAATATCAATTAAATCGAGTCGTTCTCTACAAGAATCACGACCACGCCAAAATACTTTTTCTATTTTTTCTTTCCACTGTGTATCAGTATTACCTTGTATAGACAGCATATCTAACATTACCCTGTTTTATGTGTAATATTAATAAGTATAAGAATATTTAATATATCGTATTATATATATTATATATATAAGTCCTTCATTTAAAATAATTATTTGAAATGTGATTGAATATTTACCTCCTCATTGCTTCCAATGATGATTCTGTGATATCATAGGTAGGCATAACAATATCTTTTGTATCAGAAGAGCCACACCAGGAAAAGATGGGATAAATGTTACTTTTATTTGAAACAAGTGGCCAATCTCCCAAATTCACAAAAAATTCAATATCTGGTAATAATACTTTACGAGTAATAGAAAGGAGGATAGAATCCATAAATATTTTAAAGCCTACATAACGCCCATAACATTTCCTAAAAATCTTATTTCATCTAGTTTAATTAAAAAATAGTTCTAAATCAATGTCAAAGTTACAAACTATAATAACACTTACTTTGTTAGACTGAACTATGTAATGACATAAACTGATACTCTCTGGTCGGTCATATGCTTTTATAATATTTTCACGTATTTTATCAAAATCTACATTTGTGAAAGGAATAAGATCACTGTGTATTTGTGTATAATTTGTGAGACATTTTAAATTTTCGAACCAACTATCAATGGAAGGATTTGGGCAGTAACATTCTTCTTCATAAATAGGTCCTGAAAATTTTGATTCAACTATTACTATTGCACAAAATATATCTTATATAATAGATAACAAATCCAATACCTTTAAATTTCATTGATAAAATAGGTACATTATAATGTTTTATATTAATTTTCAATTTCAAATTGAAACATGTATTATGTAATTTATATCTAACAATAAAACTTCCATCCTTACAGTCTAAAATTTGTGTCCATATATGACATGTATGTCCTTCTGCGGCTTGACCTTGTATGGAAATAGATAGTACATCTTTTCCAGGTGATTCTGTTAAACTTAAACATATTTATAAATATTTTTGGGTAGGTGAAATACAAATAAATGTGAACGCGCGCACGCACGTATGTGCAATACACATGAGCCCATGCACGTACACGCATCCACATCCACTCATCTACAGTCGCACACACATAATATAACTTTAATAATTAATGCAAATTTTAATATTTTTTATATTTTATATGATATAGTCATTTATATACAATAAGAATAATAATCATACTTTTTTCCTTGTAAGTCAATAAATTGTAGAAAAATATATCTTGCTCGCATTGTTATTTTATCCGGCTTTAATCCTGGACCCCAAATTATTGTTTTTGGTGGATTTATTTCAACATTCTTCACTTCTTGGCAAATAAATAACAATAATATTGATATGAACATCATTTTTATACAGAATAACTGCAAAACACGGCATAAAACACTACATAAGGTACACTGAAAAAACGTAAATACAATTTGTGTACTAAGCTCATTGACGCTAAGATTTATAAAAAATGTAATCAAAGTGACATTTTAATTACCTCTTAAATATTAGTACATTAAATACATTTATGAAATAAAAATTTGATAAAAAAATGTCTATTTTGAAATAAATTCGATTTAGTTATTCGATAATATTATCTTTGAAATTTAGACGTATTAACAAACGAAAACTTATTATTGTCCAGAATTATCTTTTTTGAATTATATTTTTATATAAAAATATTTTGCATGCATAGATAAAGAAAGCAATTGCTAGAAAATTGATAAAAGAATGAAGTTAATATATTTGAAAAATTTTGTAATTATTATCAAACAAATTATTATTTTTTAGTAGACAAAATACTAAGAAGAATTACGACGGAAAAAATATTGATTTGATTATATTTCTGATAGATCCACCGATTCTATATAAAAATAAAGAACCCATATTTTTCTCATTGGCCAAAACAGTTACATCTCCAAATCAGATAATATAGTATCGCATGACGAAGAAAAGAAACTGAGACTGAGTAGGATAGAATGATAACAAGCAATCCGCGAACTTTAAAGCTTTCGCGTAGACATTTATGATAACATTTAAAATTGTATATTATCAGGATACGAATGTACAACTTTGTAACGTGTATCATAATCAACATGCGTGTAACGGCTTTGCGAAGGAATTAGACGGTGCGAATAAAGTACTGTTCTTGCTTTTGTACCGTCTCGTAAGACATTTTCTTAGTAACGTATGGTAAAGACCCACCTCTAACATTATGTCGCAATTTCATATATGATTTTTATTCTTAGGTTATCTTTGTTTACAATAATCTTATGAGAATCGTAGTAATTGTTCTGTATAATTTGTGATTTATGAGAAAGTTAAGTAAAATGCACAATATGAATGTAAATATCTATTATGCCATGAAGGTGTATTGAATTTGTCATGTACAAAAATCTCATAATTTTTAGGTAGGAATCTTTCCAATTTGTGAAATCATAAGAAAGTGATAAAAAGAACAATTTTTGATCGTTTGAAATAATAATAACTTTGATTTAAGAATCTAAAAAAATTGTATATAATAAAAAGCTTTATCTATAGAGCATTTTTAATAATCATTAACAAAAAATGGAATGTAATATCGACGATTTACCAGATGTCGTTTTAGAATACATTTTAAGTCTTATTCCACCATACAAAAATCTTCAAGAATGTAAACTTGTATCCAAAAGATGGTTCCGTGCTACTAAGAGTATGTAAAATGTTTATTCTGAATATATGTAGTTTTTGATTTGTAATTTTTAAGGATTAATAAAATCCTTATTTTTGTCACAGATGTAATACAACACAATAAAGCACATTTTCACAAATCCGTAGCATACGGATCATTGCTTTGGAGTCCATGGCCACCCGAACATGGAACACCTACAATTGCAAAGAGACATTCACATTCTGCTTGTACATATGAAAACTCAATGTATGTCTTTGGTGGATGTACTGCTAGATACACAACATTCAATGATTTATGGAGATTAGATCTAGATACAAGAAAATGGATCAGATTAATTACCATGGGAACTTATCCATCTCCTAGAGGTTGTGCTACTATGTTATATTATAAAAAAAGTTTTATTTTATTTGGTGGATGGTCCCATCCAGAACTATGTTCTGTATATCAGGTACTTTTGATTGAAACTCATAAATAACAAGAATAAAAATATTTAAATTATCCAAGTAAAAAAATAGTTGATATTGTTATGTATATTTTTAGCAATTGAAATTTTACAATGAATTACATGTGTATTCTATAGAATCCAATAGATGGATTGTTATAAACACCTTGGAAACACCTCCACCTACTTCAGCACATTCTGCATCAATCCACAAAAATTATATGATTGTTTTTGGTGGTATATGTAATGGATATAGGTAATACACCTGGAGTTATTAAACATTACTTAACTAATTACTTAATTTGATTTAATAACAACAAGGTACTATTTTGAGACAGATCCAATGACGTGTGGTGTTTAAATCTAGATTCTTATAGTTGGCATAAACAAGCTACTTCAAATTTGAAGCCACAACCACGCTATGGTCAGTGTCAGATTGAGCTTGGAGATAAGCATCTTCTTGTATTAGGTGAGATTTCTAGAAAAAATAATATTGAGAATGTTTCTAAATCTTTGTTATAAATTGATATGAGTTTAAATATATAAAATATTAGGTGGTTGTACTGGACCTAATGATGTTATGAATGATGCCTGGTTATTGAAAATGGAAGGTACAGCATGGACATGGAAAAAAGTAAATATGCACAATACAGAGTGGGCACCAACGCGTATTTGGGGTCACCAGGCTTGTAAGGTAACAGTTATAACATTGCTTATTATTTTGTAAAGTAATAACAAAATATTATTAATTTAAATACTACTTTTTATGTTTTATATTACTTGTATCTGTTTTAACTAATTAGGTTGGAAACTATGTTGTTGTTCTTAGCATAAGTAAATGCCAAAATAAGCCAAATGATATGAGTATATCGTTCAAAAAGGTTACTTGCCAAACAGCACCTTCAGCAAGAACAAGTAATGCATCTTCATCATTACATGGAAGGTTCGGATATTTAAGTTTATTATTAATTGATTATAAAATTACTAAAATTTATAATTATATTTTATTTTTAGACAAGGAAGTGTATCTCATGTTGATAGAGATGTAAACATTAATGGACGACATGGTTCCTTCTCAGGAATATCAATACAAAATCCACGTCCTTCACACCATCCCCCTAATATTAAAAAAAATTTTACGTTATGTTATGATAATATGTTAAGTATGACCGCTTTTCGCAATGAACCAGTACGTTATAATAGTCACCGACAAAATCAATTAGAATGTTTTCATAGAGTGGCAGAACGTGTGAGATATGAAAAAATGCAATCAAAATCTGCAAAGAAAGCAAGAAATACTTTGTCTATATTTGTTTTGGATATTACAAATGTCTTATGTGATGAATGCAGTGCTTCGTGGATTCCTTTACAACGTAATGGTCAGTCGGGTCCTAATGAAAGAGTACTTTATTCACTCGTAGCTGGTCGTGGTGAACTAATAGTATTTGGAGGTATTGGAAAAGAACAAGCATCCAGCTATCCTGAGATGTATGAACCTAAAGTTTATAATGATCTCCATTTTATAAATCCCCCAAGATATGTTATTTAATATCTTGTAGAAATAAATAATATATTTCTATGTTCGATGGAGGGTAGTTTAATTTTGTTAGCATTGGATTGAATTCTATTATAAATTATTATTTACTGAAAATTAGATTAACTGAAAAGTAAAAATGGTAATAATATCAAAACATTGTAAAAACATTTTATGACAAATAGTTTTAAAATATTGATTTATTTTTTGTGAAAAGGAAAATGACAGAGAAATTAATTTTTTTGTTGAAAAATAACAATTGTTAGCTATACAATGCATATCAACTATAAATCTTATGATTTTATTATGAATTATATTATCTTCTTTGTGCTGTAATTTATGTATGCCTTAATCATCTTCACCATCAGCTGTTTTTAAACTACCAAATACTTGTGAAGGAATAGTTTGCTTTTCAATAGGTATATCTGAAAGTAAAAACGCAAATAAAAAAATGAGATATGCAGTATGTGTTTCACTATTAAAACTGTTTAAAGCAATTTATAAACATACTATATGTAATAAAGTGTAATAAAAAATTTATCGTGTTATATGTTTTATATTACCTTCTTCTATATCTCCTTCATTGTCATTAACATCATCAATATCAATATTTATTTCATCAGGATTATTTACTTGAGATTCGGGCTTACCATCTTTTTCTATTACACCACGAACAAATTTAATACTATCCTTATATAAAGTAACGTTATCTGCAATATTATATTTACTAATTTAGTAAAATTCAATATTTTATTTTATGGATTAGATTATATTTTTTATGATAAAAGAATAAAACCTGTATTCTGTGTTTTACTATCCAAAAGACACATTGCATCTGTTGGTACATCAGATGATGGATTTGATGCATTATTTAACATTTGTGCAGACATCATATTTACTTGAGTGTTATACATTGCTTGGACACTGCGTTTAATTCGAAGCATTTCACGCATGGTATCTTCATTACCATGTCTTACTTCAAACTCTTTCCATATTTGCCAGAAATTTGAAGCCATCTAAAAGAACAATATATATGTATATATATACGTGGAAAGAATAACATATATGTAATTTTAATATCATTCATAAATTATTCAATTTGTTGATTGTGATTATTAAACGATGCATCAATACTACTAATTATTTGTATATTTAAGATACAAACAAAAATTGTATAAATTTTAATACAAGTAATTTAATCACACGTTTTACAATAACTTTCTTTCTTATATGCTTCTTTCTGGAACGACTATTAATTCGTAACTGACTGTTTTCACTGTCAATCTGTGTGACATTCATCACATTTCATATTCATTATCATTAATTGATGTTCTCATATTTGTTATCGAACAATATAATCAAACGATATTTCATACCCTTGGATCGCAAATTTGACTGCAGTGTGCATAAATTGCTCGAGCTCTGTCAACTTCCCCTAATTTTGTCTCCATTTCTGCGAATCGTAGACACATTTCTCTCGTATTGTCTTCGTTAAGTACTTCAATAGCTTTCTCGTATATTTGCCTAGTTTTTGGTACACCGTATATATCTGCTGCTTTTTTAATGTATATGTTGAACATCTTTAAGAATATATATATTGAAATTTTATTGAATGTATTTACTTAATTCTCGTAAAACATTGACCTTTATACCTCAAATCTTTCTTCAGGAAGAACAGCGTTTGTTGCTCGTTCATACACAGACATTGCATGTCTGGCCAAACCGTGTTCTTCTTCTAATTTTGCATAAAGTAAATACAAGGCTGCAATAACAAAAAAAAATCATTCTTTCATTTCTACTATATGTATAACTGTATTAAACATTATATGAAAATATACCTTTAGCATATTTTGGTGGACAAAGTTCTAAACACTGTTCAAATAAATCTCGCGTTCGTTCTAACTTCGTTCCACCATAACGTTTCAAAAATTTAGTAAGATATGTATTCCATATATCATAAATGTTAGGCCATTTGAAGAGTGCAATGCCTTTTTCATAAGCCTATAAATAATGATTAAATATTATTGATGGTGATAACTTACTAATGTGTAGTAGTATGCTAATATATTTCAATGTATACCCTAAAAGCTTCTTCAAAATATTTATTTTCTTCTAAAAAGAGACCATAATTAATAATGATTTGCGGCGTTGCAATTTTTAGATCTATAATTTTATCATACACGGCTTTGCATGTCTGTCAAGAAAAAATTATAATTAAAAATTACAAAATATATTTGACAAAAATATAAAATATATTTTACGAAATATACCTTAAAAGTACCAAAACTTTCTTCTAAATCAGCATACATAGACCAAATTTTTAAAGATTTATATAATCTCATTTGAACTGTTTCAGTCTCGTCGTGATAAGCTACTTTGCGAAATGGCATAGCTGTAGCACGATGCATAAGTTTTAATGCTTCTTTATAATTTCTAATTGAACAAAATTATTATGTTAGCCATAAAATATTAATGTATTTAGAAACAAATATTTTACGAAATAATAACATAGGGTACCCATGTCTAATTTCCATTTCTGCCCATTCACACCATACAGAAGCAAGATCATCAACTTTAGTATAAGGAACATGAGTTGCTTTCTCAAACACTACTCTTGCATCTGCTATTTGACCATTTTCTTCATAAAATTTACCAAATTCAACCCACAAAGTATGTAATTTACCTACTGCTAATTGTGGTTGCACAGTTTGGACAGCTTCTGTATATGTATTAATAATCTGAAAGATTAATTACTTATTATTAAACTAATGATATTAAATTAATATTAAAATTACATTAATTTTTGATACCTCATGTGGCTGCCCTTCATAAAGCCTAACTCTTTTGTGCCATTCTTGAACATTATGAGGATTTTGCCTGAGTAGTACAGAATTTAAAAGTAATAAGCGTCTCTCCATTAAATGTTCGAATCGTGCTAATCTCAATTCCAAATCTATGTCATCTGTAAACATAATTATAAAAAATAAAAAATTACAATTTTTATATTATAAAAGATATATGTATATATGTATCGAATACCATCTTCAGTAGGATATTTTGCAGCTTCTTCCATACGTTTACTAAGACTAAGTTCTTCAAATTGTGCATAGGCATCAAACACTTGGGTAAAATCTCTAACAGTAGTCACTGTTTGTATTGCTTCCTCATAAATATCTCTTGCCTATTTAAAGTAAAAATATTACAATTATATCTTTACAAAGGATAAAAAGTTATATTTTTATAAAAATAAAACATTTGTTAATACCCTTTCAAATAAACCACTACGAACATAATAATCTGCTAAAGAATTCCATAAAGGACCTAGCTGATCAGTGTAACGTCTCAAACCACCTCTAATAATTGCATCTACATTAAGAGATTTTATTTTAGAAGGATTCTTTGATATCAAATCGCACAACTCATTCCACAGTTGATGATTAGACTTCCCATGCTTTGAAACAAAATCATCTTGATTAACAATTTGTGCAAGTTTCACAGCTGCTTCATCAAGTCTTTCAATTGATATCAAGTATTCTATATACTCTTCTGTATCTTCAGGAGCTAACTGAAAATAATCTGTACATTATCAAATGACTATTAAAATAAATAAAATATTCTATCTTACCTTAAGATATCGTCTAAAAACTCTGACTGCAGTTTCATATATATTATGTTTTTTCAAAAATTCAATGTACAATGGCCATATACGATGATGCTGTGTAATAGGAAGAGCTCTAAGTGCTCTATCGAAAACTTGACGAGTACGTGTAATATAACATTGTTCTGTCATTAATATACAATAATCCATCCAAATTCTAGGCATTTTATGCATAAAAACTAAAGCACGTTCAAATGCATTATTTACATCTTCATAAAGAAGGTCTGTTATGCATCTTCCTTTTAACTGGCTGACACGTTGGCGTAGATAATTATACCATAACTTATAACTAATAAAAAGGTAACCTTGAACACTTTATAAAAATTGATCTAATAAAAGAGATTGTACAAGACATAAAGCCTTTACCTTCCAGGAAGTTCCTTTAATGCTCGTTCATATACAATATTTAAATTATTACTTTTAGTACTTTTTAAATGATCTATATAACGTTGCCAATGTTTCACAGAATAAGGATTTCTTAAAATTTCCTCTTCATATGGTAAGTCTTCTTCATTCTAATAAATAAAATGACGTTAAAGAAGCACAAATAAAATAAAAGTATTATTGTATAAAATGAAAAGGATTATTCACGATGAATTACTTACAAAAATGTATAAGTTTCCCTCTGGATCTTTGCGTTCCAACATTACTGAAAATTTTAATACTCATATATGAGATATTTAATTTAATTGTAATAAGAAATTAACAGTATTTCATATACGTAATTAAATAATAATTGTAATAGGTTACTTCGTTAATGTTTTGATGCTACTTGTTTAACTTGTGCTACGTTAAGGCGCTATTGCATTAATCGTAACTCGGAATCATTTAATACTGTAATTGAATCTAATAGGGAGTATATCTATTTATTAAATGATATACTTAGAAATGCAATATTAAAAATATCTATCAAATAATAAAACAATAAAATATTTCACATATTGAAAATACTCTTAAATTTTTAGAATAATTATTATTTCGAATTATTCTACTGTTAAAATTAATAAAAAACTGTAAAATAATATGCATTCGAAGAAAATTTAAAATAAGAATGTTCACCTGAAAATTAAGTTGCACAACCTGTTTACCTCGTTTTGGAATGAGACACTGAACGTGACAGATGTCATATCAGAAATATGATCGAAATAGATATTTTTTTAATGTAAACAATTCGATTTATATCAAATCTAATCAATTAAAAAATCAACTACCAGTATTTCACTTATTATAAATTAATTACGTTTGAGCTGTATTTATAAATAAACGTTATAAAGGATGACAATGGGCGATGAGACTCCAGTTACATCACTGGTTCTTCCTGTCATCTTAAGACCAATATTAATGAAGGTATTGAAAATTTCTTTTACTAATAAATCGCAAAAAAATTTGTAAAATAGATTCTTTAAATGATAAACAAAATTTTTTACTTATTTAAATTAATTGCTCAAATTATTTTAATTACCTTAAATTATTTTAATTAATTTAATGATTTAAAATTTAAAATTTCTTTAACTGACTGTTATATAGTTAGAGAGACAAAATGTATTGGCTGCTCAAACATTACGTACAGCTTTATTAAAAGCTGAAAATTCTCACCCTGGAATTACACATGATTTGATTCTTGGTATAATACGACGAGCAGAACTTAATTTTGATATGAATGAAAGTGTTCTAAGATTACAAGGAGCAGCTTCTGAATATGATGGTATAATTACTATATAATAAAGTGAAATGTAAATAGTTAGGTATAACTATATTTAATATAGCTAATATTTTGTTTGCTTTGTATATTACAATTATAGTTGTAGAATATAGATCTGCTAGGTCTGAGGATGCATTTCAAGAATTAAATCGTAAGTCAACTTCCTTGAAAAGAATTCTTAGCAGAATTCCCGATGAGATAACAGATCGTAAGACTTTTCTCGAAACAATCAAGTATGTTTTTATACCTACGTATATCACTGAAATTAAAATTCTCTTTAATTTTTTATATATAGTATTCTTTTAATATAC